CAACACACACACACACACACACACACACACACACACACACACACACAGAGAGAGAGAGAGAGAGAGAGAGAGAGAGAGAGAGAGATAGAGAGAGAATGAGAGAGAGAGAATTGAAAATACAGAAGCCTTACAAGATTAATGGACTGCATCAATGTCAATTATAGATACATTTTATTAGTTTGTAAAGTGATACCATTCAGGGGCCTCCTCTTGTTTTTGTGTGTGTATATTTATGTGTGGGTACATGTGTGATTATGCATAAAGATCCTAGAGGTTAACTGGTATCTTCTATCACTCTTCACATTTTTTTTTTTTGGACACAGGATCTCTCACTAAACCAAGAAAATCACCAATTGGTCAGGATAGTTGGTCAGAAAACTCTGGAGACCCACCTGTTTCTACCTTATCCCAGTGCTGGGGTTACAAATGTGAGGGATCTGGACTCAGGCCCTCATACTTATGTGGCAGACATATTTTTTTTATTCAATGAACCATCTCCCCAATCTTTGTTCTTGGTTTTTAAGACAGGGTCTGACTATATGGCTATGACTAACCTAGAAGTACACATACACAAAACCCTCCTGAGTGCTGTGATTAAAGGGTTATACCACCAATACCCAACCTGTTTTGTTAGCTGTGTTTAAAGGGGTATACCACCAATACCCAGCCTGTTTTGTTAGCTGTGTTTAAAGGGGTATGCCACCAATACCCAGCCTGTTTTGTTATCTGTGATTAAAGGGGTATACCACCATTACCCAGTCTGTTTTGTTCTGCTGTTTTTTAGCAATGGCAGGGTCTCACTTTAACCCTGGTTGTTTCTAGAACTCATTCTGTAGGCCAGGCTGGTTTCAAATTTAGGCAATTCTCCTGTTTCAGTCTCTTGAGTGCTGGGATCACAGGCACGAACCATTATACTTAGATTTCAGTATTGTTTCTTTAACTGAATGTCAATCTACAATTATTTCATTAAAAAATCTATAAAAACAAAATGTGGTGAAACACACCTCTAACTTCAGTACTTGGGAGGCAGAGGCAGGTGGATCTCTGAGTTTCAGGTCAGCTTGGTCTACAGAGTGAGTTCCAGGACAGCCAGGGCTATACAGAGAAACCCTATCTCAAAAATAAAAGAAAAAAATTTTAAAGGGAAGGAAAGATAAAAACAAGCTACCTATCTATGATTAAGATTGTCTACACACACACACACACACACACAAGTCAGCCACATGGGCTGGAGAAATGACTCAGTGGTTATAAGCTCTGGCTGCTCTCCCACAGATCATGAGTTCAATTCCCAGCAACCATATGGTGGCTTACAACTATCCACAGTAAGATCTGGTGTCCTCTTCTGGTCTGCAGGTATATATGCAGGCAGAACACTGTAATACATACTAAATAAACCTTGCTAGGAGGTGGTGGCACACACCTTTAATCCCAGCACTTGGGAGGCAGAGGTAGGCAGATCTCTGTGAGTTTCAGGCCAGTTTGGTCTACAAAACTACAGAGAAATGCCCTGTCTCAAAAAACAAAACAAAACAAAAAAAAAAAACACAGAGACAAAAAGAGTAAGAAATATTCTCATTAGAAAAAGATAGATTAGGGGCTGGACAGAGGGCTCAGTGGTTAAGATCACTGGCTGCTTTTCCAGAGGACCTGGGTTCAATTCCCAGCACCCACATGGCAGCTTACAACTGTCTATAACTCTAGTTCCAAGGGCTCTAACACCCTCACATCAATGCACATAAAATAAATTTAAGTAAACTATTTAAAAAAGAAAAAGGAAAATCAATAATAAAATTATTCTCATTAGAGTCTGTCAGTAAAATAGTCATAACTATTGGGGATATATATTTGTTATCTGTTGGCCCAGTAACTCTACTATTAAAATGCATAGGCTGGGACTGAAAAGATGGCTCAGTGATTAAAAGCACTTGTTCTTGCTGTAGATCTGAGCTTTGTCCCTAGCACCTATGCCAGGTGGCTGACGACAACTTTATAACACCAGCTCCAGGGAATCTAGTGCTCTCTTCTGACCTCTGAAGGCAACTGTACTCACATGCACATACATACTTATAAGCAGACACAGATACATACGCAGAATTATAAAATAAATAGGGGACTGGAGAAGATGGCTCAGTGGTTGAGAGAACTGGTTGCATTTCCAGAACTCGGGATGGATTCCCAGAACCCACATGGCAAATCACAACTATCTGTAATTCCAGTTATAGGGGATCCAATGCCTTCTTCTGGTCTCCACAGACACAAAACACCCAAAGAATGCACATATATACATTCAGGCAAAACACCTGTATACATAAAATAATAAAAGAAAATAACCACTCACATCTGAAAGTCCAACATTCAGCAGGCAGAAGCAGGAGGGTCACTAGTTTAGGGTCTTCTTGGGCTACAGTGAATTGGAGGCTTGAAACCCAGTGTCCAAAAAGAGTAGGGAGGCACTAAAAGCTGATTCAGCAGGTAAAAGTGCTTGTTGCCAAGCCCAAGGACCTTGGTGCAACCCCAAACCCATATAGTGTAAGAGAAGAACCTAGTCTCTCGAGTTGTTCTCTATCCTCCACACGGACCAGGCAGGTGAATGTCCCCCACCCTCAAAAAAAGTTCAAGGTCACCTTCAGCTACAGAGAAAGCTCAAGGCTAGCCAGAACTACATAAGACTCCGTCTCAAAAGACAGAAACAAAGACAAAAGTGAAAACTTGCATGGTGCTAGGCATGTGACTTGGTAGTAGAGTACTTGCTTGTACATGCTGTGTAAGGTCCTGCTTTGATCTACAGCTAAGGAAAGAAAAAGGATCATGAAAAGATCATGTGGGTTGGAGAGATGGCTTAGTAGTTAAGAATGCTTGCTACTCTTGAAAAAAGAAATAGGTTCGGTTCCCAGCATCTATGTGGCTGCTTATAATCATCTCTAACACTCCAGTTCTAGGGCATCCAACAACTTCTGGCCTCTAGGAGGACTTGGGTACATACTTGGTGTACTTACCTACATATACACACCCAGACACATACATGTAGCTATGTTCCAGAAGAGCCAGAACTATACAGAGAAATACTGAGTCAAAAAATACCCTAAATAAATAAATGAATAAACAAATAAATAAAAGCACTTGTTATTCTGTTTTTCTAGACAGGGTTTCTCTGTGTATCCCTGGCTGTCCTGACACTTCCTTTGTAGACCAGGCTGGCCTCAAACTCACAGAGATCTGCCTGCTTCTGTTTCCCCAAGTGCTGATATTAAAGGTGTAGGCCACCACATCTAGCAAAAGCACTTGTTCTTGGAGAGGACACAGGTTTGTTTCCCAGCACCCACATGGCAGCTGAAAACCATCTGTAACTTAAGGGGATCGAACACCTTTTTCTGGCTTCTGTGGACACCAGACATGCAAGAAAACACTTATACGCATAAAACAAGTAAATATTTAAAACAAACAATAGGAAATGAGCCCTATATTTTAGTAAGTCTAGGTAATATAATAATTTCTAGATTTTAAATAAGTACAGTATAATGCCTGGTGGAAATACACAGTGGATAATGTCAGTAAATATACTTAACAAACTGTGAAATGCCTGGTAAGTGCTAGTTGCTGTACTTCCTAATGGCTACTGCTCTCAGATCTACCCTGGATGGAGCTATACTTGCAAGCAGAATAGTGACTTAGATAATAGTCTGGCAACAGTGGCTTTTCTCTTGGTTAGAGAAGCACAGAAGTTAGGAAACTGATTTCTTAGGGAGTCTGAAAAGAGGGATGTGGCTACTTCCTCTTGCAGGGGACTGCCACCCTTCCTTCACATCATGAAGAAATGTCTGGACAGTCTCCCAAGTTTGTATGTACATACATAGACACACACAGAAATAATCTTCAGGAAATCATGGACTATTGGAAGTGATGTCAGGTCTACTGGTTCATAAAAACAGAATCTGGGCTGGAGAGATGGCTCACTGGTTAGGAGCACTTGCCACTCTTGCAGAGGACCTAGGTTGACTTCCAGCACCCACATGGCAGTTTATAATAATCTGCAATTCCAGTTCCAGGAAATCTGATGATAGCTTCTGATATCTTCCAGTACAAGATAGAGACATGGTACACACACAGACAAGCAAGCAAAACACTCATACACATAGAAATAAAAACACCGCCAGGCAGTGGTGGTACATGCCTTTAATCCCAGTACTCAACTAGCAGAGGCAGGTGAATCTCAATGAGTTCGAGGCCAGGCTAGTCTACAGAGTGAGTTCCAGGCCAGCCAGGGCTGTTACACAGAGAAACCCTGTCCTGAAAAACAAAAAGCTAAAAATAAAAAACAGACAAAAAAAATCAACAATATCCTACTAAATCAAATACTACTTACTGAGACCTCTTCAGGACCAGGCTTTATACACTCTGATGAAATTCTCACAATCATTTTTTTTCAAGACAGGGTTTCTCTGTATTGCTTTGGAGCCTGTCCTGGGAGACCCGCCTGCCTCCGCCTCCCAAGTGCTGGGATCAAAGGTGTTTGCCACCAATGCCCACCTTGAAATTCTAACAATCTTGAAAAATAGTAATTTGCATTATTTTTTAAAATTTGTCTTGAAACAATGGAATTAAAAGGTTTTAATCACTAGAGTTAAAAGAAAGGCACTTGAACAAACAAGTAAGACATACACAAGAATGTAGGTGTGGGCTTCTCCGGGGATTACTGCCTTATTTGCATTTCAGACTAGGAAAGCATGATTCCACATAACTTTCAAAGGGTATCCAATTTAAGTGGTGGAGTTGGTACCAGAACCCAGGAATGGCATTGAAATGCAGTCTAGCCACCATAAAAACTATATTTCAAAGTCTCAAGGAGTACTCCACTGTGAGGAAATTGTGCTGAGGCTATGTGGAGGAGGTCTGGAAAAAGAACCATGTTTACCCAATGTTCCTTGGGTAGGCACAAACAAATTCATCATAGGCAGAAGGACGGTATCTGAAGAGAAACATTTCATTCCACCAGTAAGTTTGTTTTTTGTATGTTTAATTCAACCCTTTCCATTAAAATCCAATCCCTTTCATTCTGTTTCCATGTGGATGGCAAATAGGTACAGGGCTCTCCTTTATTTCCATGAAGGAAATGGCAGGGGTTGTCTCTAACTCTGCTGAGATTATGACTATGACACTTCACTCTCCTTAGTCTCTTGGATTTACCCCAAGGTATCAAATCAAAAGGAATTCAAGAAAATGGATCTTGAAAGATAAGCAGAAAAGAGAACCCCAATCACATCAAGAAGGCCAGCTGGCACAACGCCTGAAATCTCTTGGGAGCTTAGCAGATAAAGGTTTTCCCAACAGGCTTGGTAGCAGGCTTCATGTCTGACATCAACTCCACTGTGGTGGTATGGCCATTATCTCTCAGGCTTGTACCTCCTGTCTCTATGCCACATCCATAGTTACCTTGCTTAGACAAGAAGGAGGGGCTATGGATTCTGCAATACTGTATTCCCCTTCCATTCCAATACTTTCTTGCTGTATTTGCTCAAGTTTAGACAATCCAATAAAGGACTATGGAGATGGCCAGGGAAGAGAATAATTTTGACAGAAAGATGTCAAGATCCCAAGGCCAGGTCCAGAGGAGCTCTTCTGGGATCTCAAGGCCAAATCCAAAACTCTTTCTTCTTATATAAGAGCAGAAGAACAACTGGGTTTCTGGCTATACCATCCAAATGTGACTGATCTCATCTGATCTAATAAACTAAGCAGGATCAGATGTACTTGGATTATGGAATAACTGGGCCCTAAAAACTGGACACAGGATAGAAGGACATGTCTCCTTCCTCCCTCTGTTCTTTATACATTATTCTACTCTGGGTTAAAGCATGCCCACTCTCCACTTTGGTTTCCCTTGACCCATCCACTGTATGGACAGGAGAGAGTTAATGGCATGATATGGGCAAGCTATAAATTTCCCATCAGTGTGGAGAGAACAGGATCGTTGGCAGGGAGGGGGCTGGGCTGGGGGGGGATCTGGGAAAAAGCCAGGAGGTTGTCTCTAGGTAACAATAAACACTGCAAGCAAGGAGCAGCTGTTACACTTACTCTCTCTGAATCACAATGCTGAAATAACACTAATAAACCAGTGTGCCCAACACACAGGCATATACACATTTAGGGCCCAAAACCAAGTTGCACCTCTAGGACTGCCCTCTACTCCAGAGTAGGGTCTTGATGCCATAGATACAGCAGTTCAGGCCTGGGAATACTTGCAGGGGAGGATGAGGCTGATGAGTGCTTCCCAGTCCAAAGGCAGTCGTGGAGTCAAGCTGGGCAGGAGAGGCTAGGAATACAATTCAGATCCTGTGATAGTCAGTGGTAGAAACAATTCAAATTCAGCTATCTTCTCAGCTGGGAAGAAAGGAAGGGGCAGGAAGTGTGTGTAAGAAAACATGACTACTTACCATATCTGGTCAGATTGGAGGTGATCAGGTGGCCACGAACTGAGTTGGCCAGGGGGAGGTGAAAGAATAGGGAGCAGAGAAAGGGATTTGGGAAGGAAGAGGATCAGAGAGAATGTGGTATCTCTCCTGGGGCTAAAGCCCCCCCCCATTCCTGCCTATACCTCACTGTATACCTAGGCTCCCCCTCATAGTACAAGTTTTATATCCAGGGCTAGATGATGTGTTGGCTTAGGTCAGAACTAAGCTTTAGTAATGGGTCCCAGAGCTCCTTATGCTGCCAGGAAGGAGGAAGAGTAAAACTGATCTCATCTTCCTGCATGAAGAACAGTTTATCTTTGTCCAACCAGTCATGTCTGGGTCACCAGTAGATGAGAAGAAAGCCCTCATTCTGGATAGAAAGCAAAGCTTCCAGAAATAAAAGGAACAGAAACAGACAAATAAGAACTCACTATCTATCACAAAATACCCACCCAACCCTCTCTTCTGAGGCCAGAAGTCAGGGTATTTATTATCACGTGCCTGGATATACTACTATCTAAAATCCTTATTGTTCTCTTCTTGCCATTTTCAGTCACTGAAAAAGGATGATACATTTGGCCCCCCTGACCTGTGAGAGAGAAGAATACTAGCACTTCTGAACATCGGTGGCTACAGCCATTTCCCAGCCTGTGCCAATACCCCGTTCAGCAGTCTAAGTGCTGCTAGATGTTCTTCTCTGGTCCAAGGTACCCTATTCTAGTGTGCAGAGCACTAAGCACAGGTGGCAATCCTTCCTGGGTCTGGTCTTGTAGTACTTGTTTTTCTATTAAAACATTCCATGTGGCTAGAAAGATGGCTCAGTGATTAAGAACACTTGTTGCTCTTGTAGAGACCCAGGTTCAGTTTCCAGCACCTACAAGGTGACTCACAACCACCTGTAACTCCAATTCCAGAGGATCTGTTGCTCAGTTCTGGTCTCCACAGTACAGTCACCAGGCACACATGTGAATCACCAGATATACATGCAGGCAAAACACCCACACATATAAATAATCTTAAAAAAGAAATTTCTTGCACTAGGCATGGTAATACATGCTTATAGTTACAGCACTTTGGAAGATGAGACAGTATTGAGCCTTGGTGGCCAGCTTGGGCTATATAATGAGATTCTCTTCACAATAACAAACAACAACAGCCTCCCCCCCAACCCAAAGCTTTAATGTTAGCTGGATTCAGAGTTCTAGGCAGGCAACTGAGGAACCATAGTATAGCTGTTTATCAGGAACCCTCTTTTGGAAGGTACCCAAGATTTCTGGGCTGCCCTGACACAAATGGATGTCTAATATTCTCTATGTAGCCTGTGGAGAGAGTAAGTAATATCTGAGTCTTTCTTCTCTGGGAGAACTGTCTCTCCTGCTTACTTCTTTCTTATCTCTCCCTTTCTTTTCACAGCTGGGACATCTCATCTAGAGGAGAGATTTTCCATCTACAGAGCTCAGAGTGGGCAGGATTGGGGCAAAAGAGAACTCTACAGACTTGATCCCCCTTCCCCTCTGTTGTTTTTATGAACCACCCCCACTACTGTGAGTCACCAGAACCTCAAGCTCTGCTGAGCTGCCAACAGCCTTCTTCCTCCCCCTCTTACAGACAGGCAAATATGTACCCAGTGAGCCCCAGTGCCCAGCATACCATAGGGCCACAACACTCTTTCTTTCTTTCATTTGTTTTATGTGCATTGGTATTTTTCTTGCATGTATGTGTGTGTAAGGGTGTTAGATTCCCCTGGAACTGGAGTTACAGACAGTTGTGAGCTGCCATGTGAGTGCTGGAACTTGAACCCAGTTCCTCCGGAAGAGCAGCCAGTGCTCTTAATCTCTGAGCCATCTCTTCAGCCCCCAAGCCCAGCACTCTGTTTCATCCCTAGGAATCTGCAACACAGACACAGAGATGAATGAGCAAAGAAGTGTGAGACCCTAGTTTGTGCTCTGTGTAAGGCCACAGTTCTGGCTGCCTATACAGTAGAACAGGATCACCAGCCAGGAGGGCTGGCACATTTGGGCATTATCACCTCAGCAGCATGTAAAAGGAAGCAGAAGAAGATGGGGCAAGAATGTGGTTTCAGAAGCAGACATCTATCTCCTCCTGGCTTCAGGTCTGGCCTGTTTCTGTTTTGGGGCACCATAGCACTGCTACCTCTGTCAATGCCTTTCTGTTTTCATTTCTGCCTATGGCCCTGGGAGATACAGGGAGATCTGTATAACAGCTTTCTAAATATCAAGGTGAGAGGTTCAGATTTCCAGATCTATCCTCAACACATAGGAAAACTGAAAGGAAAAGGAAGAAAGGGGCCCCAGTAGAGTAAAATCTAAATGCTAGGCCAATGCTGTCTAATCCCAGAAGGTAGGGAATTCTGGGTACTGTTACCATTTCCTACCATATGTACTTAATATCTAAATATTTTCCCACAAAGGGCCTGGCTTTCTTTGGGACTTCAGAGCAGGCATGGACTTAAGGGTATAAATCTGACACCCTGGGATAACTTGGGAGTAGACAGCAGACCTGGTAGAACTGGAGGGAGGGAAAGCAACTCTATTCCTCAGAGAATATCCATCATGTAGAGTAAATGCTTCCCTATGTCTCCAGTACATTGGAGTAGGGATGAACCAATTACCAAGAGCAAAAAGGAGAGTAGCAGGCTTGTATACAGAAAGTAGCTTCTATCCTTTGCTGTGTGCCATTCTTCATTGCTTTATGTTCCAGACCAGAAACAGCAATTCAGTAAACAGTAGCCCCCTATGCCCACACAATATTCACTGTGAATGTTCTGTACTATGTTGAACAGTCAGTCCCACAGGAGGAACTATAGGTCTCAAATCTTTTATTTTTGGTTGTGATCCCAGCCTTTAATGACTAAGCCATCTCTCTAGCCCTAGGTCTCAGTTCTAAAGTGTCAGCATCCTATTTCTCTTCTTCCTCATCTCCTTTGGCACAGTTCCCTGATATCGACAGTCCTGAGGTCCTTGGAAGCCAAAAGAGGCCTTGAAGGAATTTTTTCCAGATTGTCCTAGGGGGATATGAGGGCCTCTCATCCTGTTTGAGAGTACGTAACAGACCGTGACAGCCCCTGACAGTCTAAGGCAGATCAGGACAAGGTGGGAAGCTGCAGAGTCAGATCCTGCTTTTCTCAGTTCTAGGGATGGAAGGAAGGTAAGGATGAGAGCTGGAGAGTATGGAAAATTGTTGGTATTGCCTTCTAACCCTGTATTCTGTCCTTGCCTCCAGCCCAGTATAGCCCCATGAAGCACAGATCAAAGAATGTTGAAGATTTTGAGAAAAGAGGAGAATGCTGAGAATGCCACCTTTGGCAACTTGGTAGGATATCCCTCTATTACCTTCATTCATCCTTCTTTCCCTGACCCTAGCATTAAGAGCAAGGAAGGAGCCGGGTGGTGGCGGTGCACACCTTTAATCCCAGCACTCGGGAGGCAGAGGCAGGCGGATATCTGTGAGTTGGAGGCCAGGCTGGACCGATAGCCTCCGAAACAATACAGAAAAACCCTGTCTCGTAAAACCAAAAAAAAAAAAAAAAAAAAAAAAAAAAAAAAAGAGCAAGGAAGGAAATAAGGGGATGGGGATATAGACAGCTGGAAATATGCCCTTTTCTTTAGGATAAACCAACAGTACAAGACTCAAAAGGGACCTAAGACCCTAAGGCCAGAATATAACATGAATTCAGGAACATTTCTAATTTGTTTTACAGGACTTTGCATTGAACACTGTCTCTATTATAGTCATGGGACAAGAGGTGTAAAACTATCTTTGACATTTTGGCATAACTTTTCCAATTGCTTATATGATAGCATGGAAAATTGTGACAAGATTTCCATATAAATGCAGGGCAGTGGTGGCACATGCCTTTAATCTCAGTACTCGACTGGCAGAGGCAGGTGGATCTCAATGGCAGCCTAGTCTACAGAGTGAGTTCCAGGATAGCCAGGATTGTTATATAGAGAAATACTGTTTCAAAAAACAAACAATCAAACAAAAACCATTTTAAAAAATTAGTCCTATGCAGGGGGGGTAGGGGTGAGGGGTTTGGGGGTGGGGTGGAGGGGTGGCTCACAGGAGGATCTCTGTGAATTCGAGGTCAGCCTGGTCTACAGAGTGAGTTCCAGGACAGGACTGTTTCACAGAGAAACCCTGTCTCAAAAAACAAACAGACAGACAAAACTACCACCGACAAAACAAAAACAAAAAAATTAGTCTTATTTGGAAGATCTGCCTTTTGGTTAAGTAGCTGAGGTAACTGAAGCATTTCCTTCCCTTAGATCTTAAAAAAAAAAATGGCAAAATCCTATAGAGAAGGGCTGGAGGCAAAGATGGATAATGACCTCTGAAACGGGCTGCACAAAGGGGGATGCTCCCCTCTTACATCTCTAAGCAACAGTCAGAAGACAGAGATGAGAGTCACTTGACATGTCAGATATTAGAGGACAGAAAGTCATGCTTATGTTTTTCACTTGACTTCCTTCCTACCTTACCTACCTACTTTTTCTTGCCCCGTGCTCTCAGGAGCTCTCCAAATGCAGAACATAAAGCAACTTCAGGGCAGGATTCAATTGGTTCTTCCACTCTGGGTCTTGGATTCCATATCTGTACAATGAAGGGGTCAGGCAAGATGAGTTCCAAGTTCCCTTTTTTACAACAACATTAAAATCTCATTTGCATGTCAATTTGCCTATAATCTCTATGGCAGTATTTCCCATAGAAATGTATAGAATGGGATTTGTTCTTTCCAAATCCCCTTGACCACAGTCCCAGGTCCATGATCCCTAGCTCTTATTCTCTTTCTCTTCAGGGACCTCAAAGTTCAACCCCACTTCCCTGTTGTGATCTTATACTCAACTACAGGAGTAAGAAAACAGCCTTATCTACTATTCTGGCTGTAAATTTAAGGCTACATACCTGAGTCAATCAGCATAATTTCATCTCTTTTAGGAGGTCCTGGCAGTTGGGGGAAATCCTGGCACCTTTCCCCAGTGCCTCCCCTCCTCCTCCACCTCGATATTCTCCATGCCAGAACGCAAAGTGGCCAGTGATTGATGGGCCTGGGTTCCTGGTAACCGCACCCAGTGGCCCAATCCTCCTCCCTTATCCAATCCCTCCCCAGTCCCTATTCAGAGATCAGATTGTCTCATGTTGGTCCCTGAGGTCCCATTAATTAAAAATACATCCAATTAAATGGCAGGTGAAAACGTGCTATTGGAGCTCTACACCCCCTGCCCCAGCTTGGTCTTTCCACCCTCACCCCCCTTTCTAAGGCTCAGCTGTGCTTTGAGCTGAGAAAAAAAAAAAAGATGTGGAGACAGGGAGTAGAGGAAGATGTAGGATAGGAGTATGACATGGGGGGGGTGTGCTTGAACCTCTGCCAGGGTAGCATGTGCCAGTCTGGGAGGGTGGCACCATGCCCTGGTGTCTAATTTCTGGAAGTGTGAGTAGGTTAAGTCAGCTGGATATCCACCTCCATTTCTCTTAAAGGGGCAGAGGGCCGTCAGAGGGAATGGCTAGCTGTACTGTCCTGCTTCTGGCTTTGATAGACAAGGAACAGAAGAAGTGTAAATGGCAGAGGGATCTTTGGAATAGAAGTAGATAAGATGTTCAGGGGTGGGAAGGGGTTGATTCATCTTGGTATACCTCTGCTATTTCCCAAACTAGGAAGATAAAGAGCAACAGACTGGAATTTAGGTGTCAGAGTATGGTGACATTCTAGATCTTAGCTATGTCTACCTTGCCTACAAGAAAGTGGAGAAAAGGATAGAAAAAGGAAGGAAGGAGTCATAATTTGGGTGGGAACAGATTGGTCAGATAGGATAAAACACACACAGATAGATGTTTATATGAATACCACGTACCTGAGCACCTTAGATAAAAATACTCAGAGACTTTCCCTGTTGGCTCTTTCTCTAAGCTAAAAGCAGCAGCAGTAGTAGCATTATATCACCATGGCCTGGCTGCCTAGTAGGCTGTGCATAGTACATCTCCTTGACAGTCACTAATTGATCTCATTTTCTTCCATCCTACGGAGTCCTAGCATCTTGCCAGATAGGGCATCTGCCTCCAACCCAAAGTCCTCCTCTGTCCCCAAGTGACACAAGTCTAACAGACACTGGATACTGCTAGGAAGGACTGACTAGGGTGACGCTCACAATCAGGCAGGAGCGAGGGTGCCAATTCAGGGTTTCGGCCTGGCTGCCTTGGCAGCCTCAGCACCTCCTCACTTCACTTTAACGCTAATTGGAGATTTTAATCTGCACTGCTGCTCTGCTCAGGGTGCTGGGGGGAGCACCAGCTGTGCAGTAATTCCAGCAGCACCGACTGTTTAATCAAGCTGTCCTCCTGGGGAGGGGCCTTTAGGCATGGGGGAAGGAAAAGGAGGAAGACCTCTGTCATTTCCCTGAGCTTGTTCATTCTGGAAGGCCATCTGAGGGTAAACTGTGGAGTTCTCAGTCCCATAAGGTCCAAGCCACTTGGCATACCCAGAAGAGCCATGACATGGCATAGAGCAGCAGGGGCTCATAGCCAAAGCAGTCTCTCTCATGCTGCTTTCTGCTGTATTTTTGGCTCAGAGCTCTCTGGAGTCCTGGGTGTGTTTTGCCAGATCAGATACAAAGATCTACTAGACTTGAATTCTGTAGGTTTGTGTGTGTGGAGGGGGTGTCAGGGGGGAGATGAGGTAACCCATTTTCTCAGTCTTAGATTTCTCAATATTTTCTCACCAACAAAGATACTTTTCTTTGAAAGCTTGTCAAAAAAAGTTTTCTCCTCTGAAATCCAACCAATCCACTCTCCTGAACTAGAATTTAACATCTTTGGGGTAAGGGGACACTGGGTTTGACAGCTAGAGTCAGTTATACCTACCTTGAAGAGAGAATACCTGAAACTTCTAAGTTCAGCTAGGCACCCATTCAATCAGCAGGCCTGAAGGGCCATTTGAAAGGAATAACAAGAGGTATCAGCTATTTTTCCAGCTTCTGGTCCAGGTTCTCTGGCTCTCTGGGAGTGTTTCTGATCCTGTGCCTGGAAAGAGTGCCCTTATCCAACTGTTTCCTCAGGGGCTTGAGTTTTAATTGGCCAGCAGTGCCCTCATGTGGTAGAAATCAGGACTGCAGTTGCCCCACTGGATAGACTGCTTTGAAATATCAGGTTGATAGACAAGTAGTAGTTGTAAATGTTGGTGCTTTCTAATGCCACCAAGGAACTAAATGCATATGTACTACCTGACTACTTCCTGGGGCATTAGATGCTTTCTAACATCTACTTTATCTCACTCACTCTGTCACCCATGCTCCAAGGGGAAGTAGCACCTGACTTAGAGCAGGCACTTATCTAGGCTTGCTGCTTTGGCTGTCTGGGTTGCTGAAGTGAGAGGCACTGCTGAGAAAGGGGCCAGAGAGTCAGAAGGATAAAGCAGTATCACCTCAGGAGGCAGGGAGACACTTTAACACTGCTACAACTTTCCACAGGCCCCAGAATAAAATGAACATCCGTACTTTTGGGGATTAGGTAAGATGTTTTTTTGAGATAGGGTTTCTCTGTGTAGCCCTGGCTGTCCTGGAACTCTGTGTAGGCTGGCCTCAAATTCAGAAATCTACCTGCCTCTGCCTCCTGTGTGCTGGGATTAAAGGAACGTGCTACCACTGCCCAGCCTAATATGCTGGTCCTAAGGAACACACTAGATAAATATTCTCAAAAGATTCCCAGTAGGCCTTCAGACTTTCAGCTTCCAGAGAAAGTGTATTTGTTACTGTGTCACTCTTCACCAGTGTCAAAAATTCTGTTTACTGGTCATTTCACATACCTGCCAAATGAGGGAAATGGTTTTGAACTACAGAAAAAGTAGTTGAGAAGGGAACCTCTAAAGACTAGGACTTGGAAATTACTGAGACAACGAGCTGAGTGACAAATGACTTCCCTTTTTGGAGACACTGAACAACAAAAAAAATTAATTGAGAAGGTAGATGTAGAAGTTATAGTTCCAGCTCATCTGTGGAATGGGGGGAAAGGGAGAGAGACACAAGAGACAGAGACAGAGGTCATAATTTGTGAAGCAGCACAACCTACTAGCAGAGAAGGAAGGTGGAGGTGCTGGTTGTGGGTTCTGAAGACAGAGGATGCAGGCTGAAGGTCTCTACTTCGGGTGTCTCATGCAGTATTTGGATAGGAGTAATCTTCCACTGAACCTAGAGAGAAAGTAGTGAAGCTGGTTAGAGGCAATGAGAAGGGATAGTATTGTCCTATCTTGACCTAAAGAAAACAAACACAAAAGTGTTTTGAGGGGGGGAAGTGTTTTGTATATAAAGAGGTATGAACAAGTGAGATGTCTATCCAAAGGAGACTGAGAATAACTGAATATAATACCAGCACTACACTGTAAAGGAATATCCATTAACACAGAAATGAAATAACTGCTATTGCTAGAGAGGGGCTTATCCATTCTACCTGGAAGAGAACTTGTTAACTAGAAGGTAGGACCTCAGAACAGGGCCAAATAAAACGCTTGGGAACATTTCTGGATATCTCAGGAAAGGACATGAAATGTCTCTGGCCACAAGTGACTACTCCATGTAAAATCAGGCTAGTGGCTTCTGACTGACTTTAGTCCCTACCTGGCTTCAAGTATTGTGGACGAGACTGTTTGACAGGCTCTCGATTCAAGGTAACTGACGGGTGTCCCAGAGTTCTTCAGGGCCCATCCCTGCTGCTGCCATCTGTGAAGAAAAATAAGAGGCTATATCAGACATGAGACAAGAGATCAGAAAACAAAGAGTCTTTGGTCATGCACAGGAGATTATAGTGTAGACAGCTACCAGTTACAGCTGTTTCTCCAATTCTTTTAAACCTGAATTCCCCCCAAATTGCCAGATGAATCTTAAGAATGCTTCCAGAGGAGTTGACTGTTCCAAATTCCCACATCCAAGAACTAGCTCCTAGGTTTGTAAGTGCAAAACCATGGCCCCAGTACTTAGACATCTAACAGGAAATTCAATAGAAATAGAAGCTTTGAAATACGGAATTACTATAAAGGGCAATGAGCATTAGTGTTAATACATGGGTAATGCAAGATTGTAACTTGGAGGAGGTAACCTGATTTTAGACCAGATCACCATCTTTGATTTAAGGTTCTTGTATTCATCAAAGATTCTTTAAGAGGAGTTCTGAGGCACCCTGGTTATGAAGCAGCAAGGTTTGCAGGAGAGCACATTTGTTGCAATTTGGGCAAATAGGTCTATCATATATTTCCTAGGAAGGCAAAAAGTGTTTGCATGAAGATCAACCCCACATTCCTCTATTCTGCCAATTATAATGCAACAAACTAACTGCAACTAATATATAATGGGACATAACCCTTTGTTATCCACAGACAGTATCCATTTGGCAGATCCCCTAACACAGACCACAACTATCTCCAAATTACCCAGTGTATCTTTGCTTCCTTCAGCATTTCCCTTTTTGCTATTACAGGCTCCCAATTTCCTATGTCCAGAGAAAGCAAGCATAGCAAAGGGCAGCAGACATAGCTCCAGGATGAGATGATTTACAGAATCTATCCAGCAGACCAGCCACCTGCTAAACCTATTTTGGGTTTTGACCGCTGTGAAACACTTTGTCCAAGAACACCAAGTACTGATTCTTCCACCTCCCTACAAATAAGAGAAAGGTAGACTGTCTCCACCAACTTCTTTGAATCTGAGAGTAGTTTGTTTTGTCTTATTAATTCCTATTAATCCCATATCCCATTCAGATACCCACTCCCAGCCCTGCCTAAAGTGGTGCCCTCTCTCTCCCCATTTTGATTCTTTCCATCATAGCTTTATTGTAATGCTGAGTCTGAGTTGAGATTTAGTATGAATTTTTCACATTGCTTCTGAGGATCTTTTCCTATTATCAGTCCTCAGAGTTCATAGCTAGGAATTCTTTGAAAATTTGGGGTAACTAATGGCATGTGGATCTTTGGCTATGGCTATCACTTTCCTTCCAACAAAATAGAGTCCTTATATCTAAGAAAAAAACTATAAAATTTGTATGTCATTGAGATTCTTTTTCTAAGTCACATTCTTATTTGCTTACTATACGTGTATGTGAGGTGTGACTGTGCCACAGTGCATTTGTGGAGGTCAGAGGACAACTTGCAGAAGCTAGTTCCTTCCTTCCATCATATAGGTCCTGGGGAATGACAGCAGGTACCTTTACAAGCTGAGCTATCTTACTGGCCTTGAATGAGCCAGGGTCTCACTATGTACCACTGGCTGAACTCAAGAGCTGCCTGTCTCTGCCTCCTGATCCCTGGGGTTAAAGGTGTATATCACCACACCTAAACACTAAGAGATTCTTCTTGAATGTAGAAACACATAACATGGTTTTGTACTAATGACTTCAAATCTATTTTTACTCCTCAATTTCTGTCTCCCCCTGCCCCCTTCAGAATCACAAGGTTTTTCTTTCTTGAAGTAGATTGGGGTTATCAGGAATAGGCAATCTAAAAGTTGAAGGCCTGATGCTTCCTCATGTAGGTTAAAGTTCTGCCTCTGGGAGCTAGTCTTAGATGGATCAATAGTCTCACTGCATGACTATGGATGAGACACTTTCCTTCCTTAAGCCTCAGCATCTTGCTCTAAAAGCAGAGACTGGATTACATGACCTCTTTTCTAGCTCTGGAAATCTATGATTCTGTAAAGTGCAAGAGCTAAATGTTCCTTCCTCCCCTTGTGATAGCCAGGCCTGTTACCCTTCTCTATGTCGCTGTAGAAAGAAGTACCCCTGTAGTGTATACCTAATGTACTTTGACTAAAGGGGAAAATGAACCCTACCCTGAGAGTTCTTCCTGTAAGTGCCAAGTTCTTCTAAGAGGAAAAGGTAAGGAAGGAATCTAGTTCTGACCTTGATAAAGCAAACAGGGGACTGCTTCTCCCCACCCTCAAATTGCCAGACAGAATACACACTTGAGTTTGTCCTAGGGAACCCCCATATTAGTGGCTGCTAGTCCCAACACTAGTGTGTGTAGATGGAAAAAAGGGACATGTAAATACATCCACAGCAGAGAAATAAATATCAAACCCCACACACTCCTGTTTTCCTACTTTAGGACTATACATGCCTGCAAGAAGCCTTAGTAAGAGTGGACACAGCATCCCAGCATTTCTTCTCCCCAAAGCCAGGAAGGAAGAGACAGTGAGACAGGAGCTACTTGGCTTCCTATAAATTGTTTTGTCCTTCCTCACAGCTGCAATCAGAAGCTAAGGACTCCCGCAGGCCTTGTTCTGATCTGCTGCAGGCGATGGAGGGTTTTTGAAACGGAGAGGACTTGGCTGCAGCCCCGTTTCAGCTGCCGTTGGGGCTGGCTAATGGGCTCATTCGGGAAGACCCCCGCCTGCTGCACTAAAGAGTCCCCCGCCGGCCCCCTCCCCAGTCCCAACCCAATTAATAAATGGGGGCTCCCACTTTATGGCTCTGGGAACAGGAACCAGAGATACAAATGACCCCCAGGGAGGGACAGAAAAAGGCCTTCCAAGAATCAAGCCAGAGAATTGTGCTTCCAAAGGCACATGCTGCCACAGGCTAGTCATTTCCTATTTTCAAAGCATTAAAGGGGAAGAAACTGACAAAAACAAAACAAATCCAAAAACGAAACAAAACCCTCTATTTTCTTTCCCAGATCCAGGATAGGCTAGCATTTTTGATGTCTTTGCTACACTCCAGAGACAGACTTTTTTGCCTGTTTCTCCAAACTGAAAAAAGCTTAGGGCAGATACTGGGTGCATCTGGAAACAGTGCATGCTCTACTGTCCTCCCTTGGCAAGGCCTAGTCCTACTATCTGTAACACTGGACAAAGGCACATTGCATTTGGCTAACAAGCGCCTGCTTTTTAAAAACAAAGCAGCCGCCAGGCAGTGGTGGAACCTGCCTTTAATCCCAGTGCTTGAGAAGCAGAGGCAGAGGCAGGAGGAACTCTGAGTCTGAAGCCAGTCTGGTCTATAGCCCAAGTTCCAGGACCACCAGGGCTACACAGAGAAACCAAAAAGAAAAAGAAAAAAGAAAGAAAAAAAAAGCAGCCACCTAATTTTCACCATCAGCTCAACTGTGTCAAGGGATCCTCATCTGGAAACTACCTTCCATCCCTCTCATTCACACCCATGCTGTCAGCAAACTTAATTGCTGTGGATCCCCCTCATTTCTTTGGATTCCCTTACTTCCATTCTAGTGCAAGTCCTTTGTGCCTCAAGTCTAGGCAAGAATATGAGCATCCTAAAGAACTGTTTCAGGAAAGTTACAAAAGGCTTCAGCATAATTTTCAGTTCACTCTAGTTTATTTTATATTACTCCTAAAGAAACCAAATTCTGCCGGGTGTGGCGCACGCCTTTAATCCCAGCACTTGGGAGGCAGAGGCAGGTGGATCTCTGTGAGTTCGAGACCAAGTCTGGTCTACCAAGCAAGTTCCAGGACAGGCTCCAAAGCCACAGAGAAACCCTGTCTCAAAAATCCACCCCCCCAAAAAAAAGAAACCCAAATTCCAAATGCTAATTAAGGCTAGTAAGATTGGGTCTCCAACTTCATTTCCTAATACATCTTTCCTGTTCCAGCCCTCATATGGAACACACATAGGCCCCCTCTTCTCCCCAGTTTCCCATAATGCTAGTAAGAAGCTCTTATATGGGGCACAGAACCCAGAGTCTTCTTTCTCCCCAAAGTCACAAAGAAGAAGAGACAGTGGGACAGAAGCTACTTGGGTTCCTAAAAATTACTTGGGGCTATGTGGTATGTCCTGCCATCTTTACTTTCAAAGAGTCATTCTGATTAATTCTGCCTTTTCTGTTTATTTCTTTGCTTTGGCTTCTTCCTCTTCTTACAGTTATAGGCTTACTTCATAACCTGCACACCAATGTACAGACTTAAAAACTACAGATTCTTAACTCAGCACATGAATACAATCCCCAAACTCGACGAGGCAGAATTGTGAGGTCATCCTGGAGTATCCACTTTTGAAGCTAGACTGGGTGACATAGTCTTTGTCTCAAATGGAAAAATGCAGCAAACTAAAACAAAAATATCAATTCCCCATACCTCAGGCAAGTATAAGACTGACTTCTCTCCCTAGATCCAGACACTTTCTACAGACGGAGCCCTCTCTTGGTGTTCTTGTCATGCTGTCCTGTACTCAGAATACGACTTTAACTAGTGATATTCCTGCTTTTCAATGAAGGTACTTCCATGCATAACTCTGGATACAGTATATGTCAACTTTCAGGCTGCCACCTGCTCCAAAGGATATCAAGTCCTTCCAAATTACAAATTCAGGCTGGGTAGTAGAGGCACACACCTTTAATCCCAGCACTTAGAAGGCAGGCAGATCTCTGGAGTTCAAGGTCAGCCTGGTCTACAAATTGAGTTCTGGGACAGCCAGGACTACACTGAGAACCCCTGTCTCAAAGAAAAAAGAAATTAAAAATTCATCTTCGTGATTTCAAAGTGTTAAAAACAAAAAAAAAAAAAAACCAAAAAAACAAACAAACAAGGAACTGGGGAAATGGTTCAAAGAGTACTAGCTGCTCTTCCAGAGAACCTGGGTTTGATTCCCAGTACCCACAAGGTAGCTCACAACTATCTATAACTCCAGTTCCAGGAGGATCTGATGCCCACTTCTGGCCACACACCAGTTAACACACATGGTGCAGACATGCAAGCAAAATACACACACACTATAAAAAATT